GTTAAGGTGCTAGACTCCCAAGTGGCCAATGGTAGTTCAAGTTCTGGACCTGGCAGTTTGCTTTGTCTCTTTCCCTTTATTTGAATAAAATATTTTTATTTGAATAAAATATTTTACTTCAATAATAAATTTTAAAATAAAAATATTTTAAAAATAGTCCTGACCAACTTTTGTAAAATATCAGTGTCACTGGTATTGGAAAATGAATATTTTCCAGTTATGTTTAACCTTGCAAGGGTCATGGATCCCTATGAGAACGTCATGGTAGTTATCTCCTTTCAGAAAAATGAATACACACACACACACACACACACACACACACACACACACAGAGCATATCTTTTCAAAAGGATTTGGAGACCCCTAAAGTATATCCAGGGAGCTGTTAAGGCCATGAACTTTTGTTTTAAAGAGACATGCTGGAAATAGATAACTATTTGTTTTGATTAATAATTTAGATATGTTTAGTTTATTAAAAATTCAGTAGTTTCATCATTTGTCACAAGAGCTTTAGTCCATACATATACTGTTCCATGTCGGTATGTGTAGATGACTGCATGAAAGTGACCTACTTTTTAGAATTTCTGTTTTATGGGGTTCTTCATTTTATTTTAATCTACTTAAAATATTCTTTTAAATCTTTTTCAACTTTCTAAATGAGGTTTTTTTAATTTATCAAAGTGTTTCTTTTATATTCTTGCTAATCGTAAAAGCACATCTATCTATAGTCCTTTGGCTTGAATATTTGATTTAATATTAGCATTTTAAAAATGCTTTAAGTATGACATTGACCTTAAAGATTTTGAAAGTCAGAATCTACATATAAATTTAATTTCAGTTCTCTGCTATTAAAATAATATTGAATCTCAGAATTAGGTGATAACTGTTTTACATTTTTTGAACATTACCAAATGATAATTTTAAGAATTAAATAAAATGCAAACTCAAAGTGCTGCAAGAATGTAGTATTTACAAGTACATCTTCATGGTGGTTTATAGAACTTAAATAGAAATACTAAACTCTTTCAGTGACTGTATACATTGGTGTCTTAGTCCACTTAGGTTGCTATTTCAAAATACAGAACTGGGAAGTATATAAACAATAGAAATTGGGCTCTCTCTGGAACCTAGTGGTTAAATGAGCCAGATCAAACATGGCCAAACACATTTCTGTTCTTTTTTTAAAGAGATTTTTGCTATAGAGTGCATGTGCTCACCAGAGAGACAGAAAGTGAGAAATAACCCCCCAGAGGGAATAGCTATGCCGCAATCTCTTCTCTTCCTTCTCCTCTCAGGATTTTGGGCCCACACACACACATGCACCCAGCATGAATTTTTTAAGCCACCAGATCCAGGATTTGAACCATGGATGATTACGTGGGAATCCAGAAATGTAACCAATATGTCATCTGCTGGTCCCAGTCAAATACATTTCTACCCTTTTAGCCCCAGAGGATTGAAAATACACCAGGGCATGGATGTGCATGTCCAGAATCCAGACAGGATAGAGAAATGGAGGAGAAAGGATTGAAATGTGACCATACGCTAGTGGTGGGTTCTTTCTCTCTTTTCTTCTCTGTCTCTCTCTAATGGATTCATATGCCCTCTGGTTATTAACAAAATGCTAGAAATTCATTTTCCACAGTTCTGGAGGCTGAGAAGGCCTAGATCAAGGTGCTAGCAGATTCATGGTGTGGTGACAACCTACTTTCTGGCTCACAAATGAACCTTTCTAATATGACTTCAGTGAAGTCAGGGGCCTCTTTCAGGCTTCTTTTATAACAGCACTGATCCCATTCATGAAGTCCACCCTTACGACTTAGTCACATCCCAAAGAAGCCACCGTAAATACTACCATCACAGGGCTTAGGATTTTGACATATGACTAAAGAGACACAAACATCAGACTGTAACTACTAGATGTGGTTTCTTTTCCCTCTTTCATTATGAATAATGATTTCATATACATATATAGTGCAGCTTTCATTAAATCCTATGAAAAAAGGCTGCACTGCCCTTTCATACCCACAGCTAAGAATAATGCAATAGGACCCATGACTTAAAGCATACAGGATCAAATCCAATCTTGCTAAAGTTGATGAGGCTGGAAATTCAAATAGCCCTTTTAATAGACTAACTTTAGTGAAGAATCTTCTGTAGCTACCTGTTTATTTACAAATTCTGTCATGAGCTTATACTTTTCATCCTACTTTATTGATGTATGTGAAGGTAGAATTTCTGGAGAAGAGGCTTGCATACATGACAGAGTAGACTTGTGGGTTTTGTGATAGGTCATACTGATATGAAATCCTTGTGGTCATATAAAGACATGTATATTTGTAAAAACAGAATATCTTCAGCATATTTCTAAGATGCATATTCCTTCATGTATATTATTTCTAAAATTGTGACTCATTTTAAAATTGATAATGTGTTATAGCTTATTTGGCAGGAGTTTTTGTAATAAAACACAAAACAGTGCAAACAACCATTGATGGTGTCTTGGAGTCAATGAAATGCATTACATAGATTATAAAAGATTATACTGAGTTTATATAGAGCTCCTAAGATCAGAAGGTGCCTTAGGAATGTTAAAGCAACTCCCCCAGGAAGTTGAACTGAAAGGAATAATTTGCAAATGACACTGATTTTGGTGACAAAAGAGGTGATTCATTTTTCAAGTATTTTCACCCATCTTATATGAGCCATTATATCATAAACTTGTAAATTCAATGTAAATCACATTTTAAAAGATATTTTTATGTAGCATTTGGTACAGTAACATAGTGTCTATGTAAATTAGAAGGAATAATGAACTATTGTTCAGTGTAAATGACTACATTTTAACTGTATGCAAAATCTTAAATAATCCTAAAATTTAAATGTTGAGAGAAATGAGTGTTACACAAGACCATATATCAGATGATACCATTTTCTCTAAACAAATAAAACTAAAACACTTTAAAATTTAGCCTAATCCAGACAGTACCATTTTTAATGACTGTTTATTTTGAGTACTAATGTGGAAAGAAGTCTTCAAATTATTTTTTTCAACCCGCATGTTAGCTTCAAAATTAAAAAGGCATATTTTAATGGGAGCTGCTTTAAAACAATTTGACATGAGTGAGATAACAGTTTGGGAAATGTGTCTATGCTTAGTTTTGCTTCCAAATTTGGACTTTTAAACTTATTGTTAGTCTCAGAAAGAAATAAGAAGCAGTGTAGATAATTAAACATTTGCCTTGGGGGAATTATTTGCAGTTAATTAAAACCATACACTTCGGGTATATACTTGCTTCGCTTGTTATTAAATTTGAATCATATGTTAACTACCCAGGTTTCTCACTTGTCCATCAAATATTGCTTGTGGCAGGTTCAAGAAAAATACTTTCTCACAATATTTAAAACCATATTGTTTAAAATTGTATCCTAGTTTTATGAGGGAGGGGAAGAGAAGGAGGAGGGGACAGAAGACAATGAATGTTTTATTTTAGATTCCATTCGATTCAGCTCTGTAAGAGAGTTAAAATTCAACTGAAAAGTAAAAACTCAGGATAAGAACCCATCTGTAAATAATAGAGGCACCAGTCTATCATCCCCAGTTTTCTCCATGACTGTATGCTTATGAGATTAGTTCTTAATTTTTAGATGTCTTTGGATTTCCTTTCTTTTTGGTACATAGAAAATCATCTATGAGACTGTAAATTCCAAGAGAGCAGAAATTTTTGTTTTCTTCCCAGCATCAAGGACAGTGTTTGGATACCAAATGGTGGCACAGGGTAGTGCATATGGACTCACATGGGCAAGGTCTTGGGTTCAGGACCTGGGACCTCCCAAAACATACCAAGTACATGTACTTGTGATGGGGCTGACAGAAATGGGGTGGATGGCAACATGAAGACCCTACGGGAAAAACAATGAAAAGATATTGAATGATGAAGTGGGGATTTTAATGTCTTGATATTGACTGACATGCATGGCATTCCCTTTTGAAAAAGCAATGTAATACACTGTAAAGTTATATGCAATTCAAGGTAATATAGACAAGATTATGATGATAAATAAATAAGAAATTAAAAAAACATAAATAAATTTTTAAAAAGACCCTTTTGATACCTCCCTCTCGCTTCCTCTCTTTCTCAAAAAATAAACAACTTTTTTTTTAAAGTGTAAAACAAGAATAACAACTGGCATATAGTTGGCCCTTACTAAAAATGTGTGAAATAAATGAAAGACCTATTTTATGTCTTCCTACTGACCCATTCTCAGTCTTTCCAATGCCTTTGTAAAGAGCCTCCAGAAAGACTTCACTCAACAAAGAGCTCTTTTGAGCTTCCCAATGGTCATATCATGGAATCCTTTTAGCCGTATTATCTCCTGTAAAGCATATCCTATTTTAAAAAGTATAAAATAAATTCAATAAATTTAAAAAAAAATAAAAAGATAAGTGTAACATATTTCAATATGTTACACAAGGCGGGGAATGACATTGCACAGAACAGAAGGTCTGCTGCAGTCCCTCATTACTATTGTTCTACTGGTACAGTTCCTGAGGAAGATGAACTTAATTACCCCTCACTTTCAAAGCTCTACAGCTGACTTTTCAAGGACTCCAGGCTCCCCTATGTGAACAACTACAGTAATGGAAGTACTAAGAGCATTAACATGAGATGTTCCTTTAATCTTCTGTATTTTGCCTTCCTTTCATATCCATTCCCATGATTATAAGACTCACTGATGTAGAAAGCCTGCTTGGATTTTCTTCTTTGTTGCAAAATTATGTCCCAACCACGTCTTTACCTTTGTAAGCATTGTGCAGATATCTTATGGAGTACTTTAAGAAAAGCTTATTTATTGACAAAAATAACTAAGTATTTTAATGGTTATTTTAAAGAAATAATATACTCTGTTTCCCCAAATATGGAACTATGTTTGTACTGGAAGCTGCTCTATTTCTCAGTTTAAAATACCGACTAAAGGGTTTGCTTGTTTGTTGTCAGATTCTGCAAAGGATGACAATATTACAAAAGACAATGAAGTAACAGATCATTCTGGGTGTGACCAAGATCATCCCAATGGTAAGTTGTGAGGAACTTTTTTACATTCCCCCCACCGGTGACTATAACATTTTTTAAAAAATACAGATTTCAGCTTTTCTGGGAAAAAAATAAATTCTAGTAAAATCTTACTAGCACTAAATAAATACCAGCTCTTTGGTAGCTGCCACCTTTATGTGGAACATTTGTTCCCCACCATCCTCAACACTCATTATTTTTATACCAGGCCAACTTTACTTATTTTGTTTATTGTTATCTCCCTAAATTATGTAAGCACTGGGTTTGCAACTACTAAACTAAATATGCAATAACCATGAGAATAAATACAAGATATATGGAGAATAAATCCAGGAGATTAAATCTACATATACTTGGAATACAAAGGAGAGAGAGTAATACAAAATCAAGCAATCTTTAGAAAAATAACAGAAAAATGGTTTTTCTAATGCAAACCAGTTCTCCATCCAAAACATGAAAGGACACATTATATTTATAGGCAAAGATAATGAAAACTCAAATAAGAACAGACACGTACATAGTCTCATGAAATTTCTGAAGATAAATGATAAAGAAAGGATTTAAAGTGTAAGAAAGTCAAAATCAGGTTATAGGCAAAATCTCCAGAATCAGATTATCCTTAGCCTTCTTCCACAACCCCAAATGCTAAAAGAAAATGGAATAATATCTTCAGAGCTCTAAAGGACAGAGCTTCTATATTTAGTGACGTTATTATTCATGCATGAAGTCAGGAGTGATATTTTCTGAGGAACAAAAAGAAAGGGAAAGTACGCCACCCGTGTATCCTTTCTGAACTCTAACAGAAGGCCCACGTGAAAACAATCTAGATAGAAAGGAAGGCAAAATCCAAAACTGAAAAAAGCACAATTGGAAGGGACTATATGGTAAGAGACTAAATATATTCAAAATGTTGAAATGATTATTTTTCACAAAATACTTTTGAAGTAATTATTTAAAATTAACATCAAAATATCTTAACCTAAATATGTGTTGTTTTTCTTTTTAACTTTGAAAAGTATAGTATATGTTATTTAAAACTCAGAAAGAAAAAACCAACAGGTGGTGTGAAGGTTAAGCCAGTTGGTCACACATGGCTCACTATCAGTTAGAGTCCCAGATTTGGCAGCTTGAAAATCATACTGAATTCATGTATGGCACACACAAAATCCCAAGAGGAGCATGGAGGAGAAGGGATTGTGGCATAGTCATTCTGTTGGGGGGTGATTTCTCACTTTGCCCCTCTCTCTCTCTCTCTCTCTCTGTCTCTGTCTCTCTCTGGTGAGCCTACCCTATTGCACAACTAAAATAAAGAGAGAGAGTGAAAACAGAGAAACTTCTGAGCCATCAGGTAACATGGAGGTTAAGGTGCTGGATCCCACATGACCAAGTCTGTGGTTCGAGTCCCAGATCCGGCAAATTGAAAATCATAGGTCACAAGTGACTGAGTGACCACAATCCCAAGAGAAGAATGGAAAAAAAGGGTTTGTAGGTGGCCATTCCCCCCAAGGGATGATTATTCACTTTCCTTCCCTCTCTCTGTCTTTATCTGGTGAACCAAGTATTCTATAGCAAAACTTAAAAAAAGAGAGAGACTTCTGCTTTCAGTAATAAATCCTAAATAATTTAGACCATTTTTCTCACAAAAGACCACTTAAAACCTAGATTTAAAATAAAACTATTTATTTATATGTTATATATTTAATTATATTATTTTTCATATTATTTCTTAAACTTACTTTTTATATTGTCATGTTATACATTTTGTATATACAGAGACAGATAACAAGGTGTTATCAAGCTAAATTCTGAGAAAAGAATCTCTTGCTCTCTCTTTATATATGAACCTAGAATTTGAAACCATTTTTACCTTAGGGCATTTGCCCTTAGGTATCTGGAGTCCTGTTGCTAAACAGGGA